TCAATCTGTAATATCTTCGAAAATATTGATTTAAATAACATGCTGTAAAGGGCTATATTGATCTATATTAAATGCACAATGTGTTTAAAAGTACTTAATTGGATAAGGATTAATGCTGTATTGCTTAAAATCGCTTCGTAAATAAGCGATTATTTCTCGTAAAAGTAAAGGATAAAAAATGGTTATTGTGGGTTATCCCTAAGAGATAGACATATACCATCGCGGACTTTTTTTGTAGACCTTTTTAAGGTGTACCATACTGTAGTACATTATTTTGATCTATCTCGTAGGGTTCAGCCAGCAATGTAAACACAAAAAAATGTGTTTATATACGACATCACATTACAAACCTCTAAAATTATCAGTGTTTCTCTACTATATTATGCATGTATTGTACATATAAATCTTCCTCTTGAATTACTCTATCTATTTAAAAAAACAGCATTAAAATCCGTTGAGTAGTTTTAAAGATCTAAGCATACATAGGGACAGACAGCGAGGGAAATGCGTTGCACGATTTCGTTACATAGCAACTCGCATGAAACGAACTTACCCTACCGTGCGTTAAGAAGTTTCACTTCAATAACATTCTTCATCATATGGTCGTCAGTCCTAAGACTGGTTGGACACGCACCTCCACTTCTTCCTATTCTGAGCTAATCTTCGCATTAGAACATCCCACATCCTTAACTATTTGCGAACAGTAATCTAATCTAGGTCTACCTCTACTCCTCTTAGCTCTTGTTTCTGCTTATGTATCTAAGTAGCGCTCCATGCCCGAGAACCACTTATGTTTTCCATTTACTTCAAAAACCGGAACAAACGCCTCTTAATTTTTTTGACGTGACAACGTCTTATAATTCGATGGAGCCGGACGAAAAAACATGACTCATGCGGCGTTACCTCGCTCTGAGGCGTTCCATTTAAGGCTTGAAGTGTAAGCGAGAGCGCGGAACGAGCGACAAAGAGGCACAATCGGCCTCCGCGTTCAGCAGCATTCGACAACTGTCTCTCTCCTACTTGAGTGAGCGATGCGTCCGCGTGGACAGCTGCTATACAATAATACATTTCCATGTTTTCGTCAAGTATGAAGTGCAGTGAAAAGTGAATGTGGTGTCAATTGTTTATAGCAACGATAATTGCGGCGATAAAGGTAATGATTCTTTCGATATTAAATATATGTTCAGTGATATATTGTCGAATTGAAGCTAGAGTTACAAAAATTTTAATGATGTTTAAAAGTTGTAAATAAAAGTTGTAAAACAATTGCTCAAAGCACATTCATACTTGTAAAAACTATGTACATTGGAAAAAAAATAAATAAAAATTGACATAATTGTATTTATGCGTACAAATAAATGTAACTTGATCAATTCAATTGTGATTTCCATTTACCTCCTTCTCTATATCCATACAAAATATCTATCAAACACCGTCAACTATCGTCAGTAAACCGACTTTACAGACAACCGATTTTTTTTTTAATTTAGGAGCATATGTAAGAAACCCGTTTCTTTTAGACAGTCATTACTATTGTAAAGGGACCATTCTTTTATGTTAAATGCTTAAAAAGGGCAATCTCGAATCTCATTATAAATTGTTACAAAAAAGTATTATTTCATTTTTTGTCATTTATTAGTCTTCCATATCGAAATTTTATGATACTTATTCCTTTAATAATGAAAGGAAATTCGCCATTAGTTGTCCAGTAATGGACCTTTAGCATTCTTGTACGTACAATAGGTTATATGAGCCGTTTATACAAAGGACGCTCTTTTACATCCTTTTTCTGGTCGTTAAAAATGTCGTTTATATTGGCGATCGCGATTTTATTCTTTCGTGAAAAAACGAATAGTAAAATTAGTTTTCACCTTAAGAAATCTTTGCTCTTTTTCTCAAAATATATTAAGGAAATTCTCAATATTGAAAATTATGCGAATAATTTTACTGTTATCAAATACATAATCCATTCTTTCTAGAACTCGATTAAAATTTTTGTTTTAAAGGTGCCTTAAAAAAAAATATTTTCTTCATAAAAAAGGGTTAACTAATCTGAGTGTCAACGTTCTATATCTACTGTTTCATTATAGCATTTAGTTGGAATTTTGTAATTGGGGTTCTTGGCAGTTTAAATAAGTTACTTTTCATGAAAGGGGTTTTATAACTATTTTAGTTTGTTTACTTTTCAAAGAATGGGTTTATTATAGATTTATGGGGTTATTCATAGGTACCTACTCTATTGTGCATTTTAATATTCACTATTAATAATAGGAGTGTCATTAATGGTTTATCCCAGCATCAGAATATTTCAATACTTCGTATTCCTTAATCGAATAAAATAATTCGAAGTGGTCTGTATTCCGCCGAAACTGCCAGCCGCGGATCGCGATTACGACCATTTTGAATCTCATCAGCGCCGTCGCAGGCAGCTCCGACAGAACACAGATCAACTTTTACCGACTGTCTTAACAGCGCGTTTTAGAAAATACCACAAAAGCCGCGGTAAACGCCATCTGTAGTACGATGCTACATTATGGTAACGTGCCTATCACATAGTGGTTAGCTACGCCGGGATTCATTTCAGCAAATCGATATCCTTATATTTAAATGGTTGTCGGAGCATACGTAATCCCAAAATGTAGTATCGTACTACAGATGGCGTTTACCGCGCCATTTGTGGTATTTTCTTCGTATTGCTTATTTTTATTTACAGTCGTTAAATCTATTATTATTTTCTTTGGTGTGCAATAGTCGATACTATTGATCACCTTTAAATCATTGACATCTGGTACCCCACTTTCTTATTTTGGACCAACTACCCTGCTTCTTCTACTACTAATCCAATTAATTTTTCTAAACCTTGCTAACTCCACCTACTCTCCCTCTTCACACTATTCTTGTTAATATCTGAAAAAAGGACAAAAGCACATTCATCATAGACAATTCATCATCATCAGACCTAGCAAACATTATTACAACCTTTTTCGTAACATAGCAGTTAAGTAGTATTAATATTCTTTAGCGTTAGGTCTTTATTTAAGTATCAAGTTTGAATAAACATTACTTTTAAAAATTAACGTGAGTTTTAATCATAAAACAACAAAGTTCGTCAAACTAGGCGTCAACATCAACATTATGAAAAGCGTAGTATTGATTCAGTTAAGTCAACTTTTCTTCATTCGAAGTCGTTGCATATTGTATTGATGTACAGCGATGAAACCAATCAAAGGCGATAGTTGTACTGTGCCTTTATCGTGCTGTTGTCCGGGGAAACATTTTCTACTTTCTCAAACGGCCTAAAAATTATTTCTATTATTTGGAACATTGTTAATAGTTTGCTGACCTGTTTCAAAATAACATTAACGAAACTGTTTTAAGCGCTATGGATCGTGGAATTGAATAGGAAGAGAATCCGAATACAGTACTGCTTATAAGTTATTCTTTAATAAAATAAAATAATTCGAAGTGGTCTGTATTCTGTCGAAACTGCCAGAACGCGGATCGCGATTTCGACTTTTTGGATCTCATCAGCGCGTCGCATACAGCTCCCACAGAACACAGACCAACTTTTACCAGCTGTCTTAACAGTGCGTTTTAGAAAATACCACAAAAGGCGCGGTAAACGCCACCTGTAATACGATGCTACATTTTAGGATTACGTATGCTTCAACAAGGTCCATTTAAATCTATATGGGTATCTACTTGCTGAAACGAATCCCGGCGTAGCTAACCTCAACGTGATAGGCACGTTACCATAATCGAATAAAATAATTCGAAGTGGTCTCTATTCTGCCGAAACTGCCAAACGCGGATCGCAATTTCGATCTTTTTGGTTCCCACCAGCGCGTCGCAAACACCTCCGACAGAACACAGACCAACTTTTACCAGCTGTCATAATCGAATAAAATAATTCGAAGTGGTCTGTATTCTGCCGAAACTGCCACACGCGGATCGCGATTTCGATTTATGGTAACGTGCCTATCACGTTTAGGTTAGCTACGCTGGGATTCGTTTCAGCAAGTACATATCTATATATTTAAATGGACCTTGTTGGAGCATACGTAATCCTAAAATGTAGCAACGTACTACAGATGGCGTTTACCGCGCCAGTTGTGGTATTTTCTAAGTTATCCTTTGTCTAGATTTCATGCTAGGCCACAAGAAAATGTAAATAATCACATACTTGAAGGACAAATACTCGATAATTGATGTGCTGGGATCTAGACTCGCTTAGAATTTGTTGATCGTCGTCAGTTTAATTAATGGATATTCTTAAAAAAAAAGACGATTGATTGGTAATATATGGTGTAATATTGTAATAATCGAATCAGTGAACACTCAAACATACAAACATTACTTCATTTTCATAATTTATAGTGCTCTATCACCTCCTGCAAACTCGGAACTTATTTCTGTAACACCGTGTAGATATTTTAGAAGTGTTTTTCATAGTGCAGCCCGTACTGAAAAGGTTAACGCGAAATTAAACAAAATATTAAATTTTATCAAAATAAAGTTCACAGTGATTTTGGGCGTTTTCCATGTTCAAACCAACCTTAGATATACCTTTAAAATTTAAATGGTTATTTAAAAATTAAAAAGGTTTTGAAAGCAAATAAAGGCAGAAATACCCATTTTGATATGTACGGATAGATATTTGCGGAATATCATAATTTGTTGATGATTTAATCATTGTATATAACTAGTGGTTAACCAGCAGTTCATTTCGGATTATACCTCAAGATTCATCATAATTCTGATGAAAAATCGCCATTCTTGGAATTTCCGTATCATTCAAATGACATTTCACTCAACTATATTTGAAATCTTTAAATTTCTGTTTTTCTATTTCAGAATGCAATTTTGACACAATCCGCTTTGAATGTGGCTCTATATAATTATAAGTGTATGCGTCAAAATGTCAATCAAATCGATCCAATAGTGTAGGCTGTGCGTTCATCATCAGTCAGTCAGTCAGTCACTCGGTCAGTCACTTCAATTCTGAGCATGACAAACGCTTGATATATAACTTCGGCCCAAACCTGGTTGCCAAGTTTGGCCCACGACTGGACAGCCACTGGTGAACCAAGAATTGGTGAACAATACTAACCCAAGACTGGCAACCATTATTGGACCTAGCATGACAAACGCCTGGTATGTAACTTCGGCCCAAGCCTGATTGTCAAGCTTGATCTACAATATGACAGCCAATGCATAACCAAGACTTAATGAACAGTAGTAGCCTAAGATTGGTAACTAATATTGAAACAAGCATGTCAAACCCTTGGTATGTAATTTTAGCCCAAGCCTGGTTGTCAAGCTTGGTCTACAATTTGACAGCCAATGCTGAATTGACACTTAGTGAACAATACTAAACCAATATTGGACCGAACATGGCGAACGCTTGGTATGTATCCTTCGGCTCATGCTTGGTCCACGTAAACCACAAACAAAACTTGAGCAGCCCATATTGACGCAAGACTTGATAAACAATATGAGTCCAACATTGTGCTACTCATATTGTACAAGGCTTGATTAATAAAAGAAATCGAAGACTGGGCAGCCAATGTTACGCCAAAACTTGTTGACCAATAATCATATGTGGGTAAATCGAAATTCCGTTAAGTTTTAGGTATACACTTTTTTGATACAAACCCTTTCTAAAAAGTCACTGTAATTTCGTCAATGGTAGTAATAAGACAGTATTATTGCTGGATATTATAAAGAACTCCTTGGGGGAAGACGAATGGAGGAAAATTTGTGAATATAAGTCAGGATAAACTCCTTTCTGCTGGCGATGAGCAAAGCTGGGACAGTCCTGGTATTGATCATGACCTTGATTATTCCGACTTTGTATTGGTTTTGGTCTTGCGTGTTAAGTCTTGGTCTTGCTCATTTAATCATGCTTTTTTTTTTAATAAAATTCTTCTCAGCATACAAAAATGCTTTGCTCCAAGAAAAGAATATATTAAAGTTGCTTCAAATACTTTAACTCATAAATCTACCGGATATAATAATTTTTCGTTTAGTCTTGCATACCTATGTGATCTTGGTCTTGCAAATTCGATCTTGATTATAGTCTTGGTCTTGATCTTGGTTTTGCTCGTACAAAGACAGTCTTGACCTTGGTATTGGTCTTACACTTTCGCAGGATCTAGACCAAAACTGTAATACCAAGTCCAATTTTGCTCATCACTACTTTCTGCTCTTTACTATGGTTTTGTAAAAAGGAGTTTTGGGCAGTTTTATAAAGTGAGAAAAGTTAATTTTGCACAAAAATAGTAAATAGCTAATTGTACGAGACACGATTGCAAAATAAAATTTGGTGAAGCTGTTAAAAATTAGTAGATAGTGAAACATAATAGTCGCTATTAAAAATCAGATGAAAAATAAATTTTTAAGAGGACGTGACGGTTTTATAAATGGCTTGTGTTGATTGTTGCGGGTGTGTTGCTGGCCTAGATTTTTTCCTAAGGAACACTTAAACCCTCTTCGATAAAAATTAATTTAACGAAGTCGATATTTTAGGAAATAACGGTCGAATATTTTCTATCTGTGGTCTTGTTAGGGTGATAGAACGAGCAATAATAACTAATATGATTTTCAACTTTTAATAAACAACACACACTAAAACTAACACCGAAAAAATACTTAAAGATAAACTACAACGAATAAACTAAGAAGATGATTAATGCTTGAGCTTAATGCTTGAACGTAATGAACTTATTACATAGAAAAGATGCTTAAAAAGAACAACAAAATATAGGGGGTGGAGGTAAGTTAGTGGGGTGTTTTGACCTTAAGCTATGGTTAGTGACCACGTGACTACAATCACAAAATTGTTTGTGGATGGGGAGATCATCGACCCATCTGGTGACCAACGCGAAGGGACGTTACCTGCCGAGGGAAAACCTACATAATATGATAATAAAGTTCCTTTGTGGAACGACATATTTCTATGTTTAAACTGCGAATAATAAAATTGTTTTTTTTTTTATTCAAACGATTCATCATGAATTGCGCTCCAACAGCTTGGTTGGATTTTTAAATTTATTAGCGACTATTTTGTTTCACTGCTAATTACTGACGGTTTCAGCAAATCAAATTTTGCTGCTCAATTAGCCCTTAGCAATGAAGTAAAGGCAAGAAGCTAGTTGCAAAAAACTTAAACAACCTGTGATATTTTTATTGAAGGTGTTCGGAGTAGGTAAACATATTACAAGGTTTCGTGTTTTTTATTACCTCTTTTGTTAACTTTAAACGATTTCACAACGAAACTCAAACTTTTTATTGTACATGTTTGATTTACAAAAGAAAACATAGCAAAGACCAATTCAAAAGCATGCTGTGCTCTGAGATGATGTTTTTTTTCACTTACCTACTTTGCTTTCTATTTCTTATTTAATTGTTAAGTAATAGAAGCATTTCTGTGTCGATCATATTTCCTTTCACATTTTTTTGTTTAGTCTGGGTCAAATTCTTTAACTTTTTAATTCATAAAATTATTAACAGTTGTTGTTTTTATAGTGGGTTTTTTACACAATGAAGCAATAAAAGTGAATTAATTAACATATTTTTTGTTATTCCCTCCAAACTTAACCACTGTTGCTAGCCATCACTTGGATTTTTAGTAAAATGAAACAGTTTTTATAGGAATAATTTATATGACTTAAATTTAATATATCATCTCAAACACTGCTACTATGTGTAGCTGGATTCATAAAATTATATTTTCGTTCAAGAATTCTTAGCAATTCTTTTATTAACTTTGGCTTGATCTTGTTGATTGATAAGCAGGTTAGATTGTCTCTTCGTGAGATACTCATTAAATATGGTAGTTTGACCTCTAAAGATGATAAAACTACAAGGTGCTCCCTTTTTAAGGGGTATGTTTTTGAGTAATGTTAAAAAAGGCACCACTTTTAGTTTTTTCCAAATAACTCAAAACCAAAGGAATTTTCAAGATTTTTACAATTACTGTTTTTTTTAGAGAATTGGATTCTCCAACGAAATACTTTACGTTATTTTCTTTTACCATTTTTAGTATCGAAGATAATTAAGAAAGTCACCGTTTTTTCTTTTTTTCGTTAAATTGTCTATATATTTTTTTCCTAGGCAATTTTAATATATACAAATGTTCAGAGAAAAAAGATAGCTCTTGAAAAAATACACATTTTTTATCCTGTTTTATCGCCAACGTGTTTGTTTTTTAATTTCCGACGTATCAAATCATTTTTTTACTAGGAACCGTTTTCAATATAAGTTATTATCAACAATTTTAAGATTAATTTTTAATACTCTTGAGTTTTGAGGAGTGTGTACGTTCGAATCATTCACTGTGCTCAGCCTCTATATATATTTATATTAAAACGGAAGTATGTACTAAAATGTTAAAATGGAAACTTGTTTTCTTTGTTCATAAAAATACTGAAGCAAGAAGCATTTCGTCCGTCTCATCTTTCTCACCCGTACCACCACCCACCTATTCCCACCTGCTCGCCTACCAGCATTAGTGGCTGATGCGAATGTGTTGTTCCATTATTTAAATCCATGTGTTCAATATCCATAAGAAAGGTTAGTATGACAACTTCTTAAACATGAAGGGCTAATTAGAGACATATTCGAAGCAAAAACAGGAGTTTCTGACTTATTTGGAGAAATCTGAAGGGGGTACATTTTTTAAGATTAGATACACAAAAACGCACTGCTTAAAAAATGGGTACATTGTGGTTTTATCATCTTCAGAGGCCAAATTACCATATTCAATCACGAAACCTCTTTACCGCAATTGTTACATGCTTTCTTTACTACAGTCAAACCTGGGTAAGCGAGAGTTAAAGGGATCCGAGTATTATTCTCACTCATAGAGTTTTCTCATTTACATTAATAAAACTCGAACATTAACACGGTGCCAGACCGTTAAGAAATATACACATTTGTCTATAAATAGGTACTTATTTTATTTATTTAAAGGAATCAGTTAATTTTTCCGGACTATCCTTTTTACAATTTTGAATATGTTTTTCAAATTTCATAAATTTCATCAAAAATGAAATCAATTTTTCGCTTCAACATTTTGAGGGAACAACGTCAAATGTACTTTCTCCATTGATTGTTATCAACTGAAACCAAATGTTGAGGATGAGTACCATGAGCAGGTAGGAATAATCGCACAAGCGTGCTGCAGATGTTTATTAATTGTAAACGGTATCGCTTGCAGAGGTCTAGAGTAAGCAATTGTCACTTACAGAGGTCTAGAAGTGAAAAATGACTCTCTCTAAAAGAGGTACTCACACTGTCACTCATAGAGGTTTTCGGGGCTAAAAATGACGGAACCTGACTGTTAAACAACAGCCTTTCGCTTTATTGAGGGGTCGGTTAGAACTCGTGTCGGCAGGGTGTCGATATTGTCACCTTCTAAGAAAAAGCGACATCTGGGAGTAGTAAAATCAAACAAGGGTGACAAGCGTAACAAAATAAGTTTTTAAAGACAGTTCCTGTTGAGAGGTCACATCAAACACATTGTATAAGTTAGCCATTAGTTTTCAGTAGTTAAGAGAGTTAAATTGTAATTGTTAAGGTGTAAATAATAAACTAAATTAAAGCAGTTCACAGTTTTAGTCAATCATTTTTAAGATATATTTCAATCAAACATACGAGACAAAGCCAGCAGTGCTTAAGTTAAAAGCACCACTATTTAGCATATTTTTTTTGCTAAACATACAACACTGACTATTTTTGTCGCTAATAGAGTTTTCTCATTTATCCAGGTTCGACTGTATTTGTCTTTATTCAATAGCCTAATAGAAGAAACGAGTTCAATAAAAGTGTTACTAATCGGGATTGATAATATTTTATATTTTTGGTTTGAATATTTCAAGTGATTTAAGATCGGTTTAAAATATAGAAGTAAATGCCTCCAAGTAGCGTGTACTTTACAAACGGCCACGCGCCGAGAGCATTAGTATTTGCATACACACGATCTAACAAATTGATCCAACCATCCGACCACTACGATAAATTGTGGAATGTGCAAACTTGTTGGTCAACAAAATTTTTGCCGGGGTAGTTGGTCGGACAAAACTACTCGACATCCGATTTTTGCTGAAAAGTTGTACCGTGTGGATATATGTTCGGCCAACTTCCGTACCTGGGAACACTTGAATGTCACAGAAACAAAAATTCGCACAAAAACATTGAAGGGCTTTTCCATTAATTAATAAAAATCTTTTACACATAAATTGACGAGGTAAAACGTCTTTTTAATTGTTTATAACTGACTAAATATTCAAAATTTTATTTATTCATTAATTATTAATTAAATTGGTTTGTATAAAAAACTAATCGAAGATAAAAAGTTTTTGAAACAAAAGTGAATTTTTTTTGAAAGGCAAATAAAATTATGAGGATTTACTCAAATGTAAAATAAGGCTCCCTTATCTAAAGGTTTGGGACTACAGCACTCCTAGCTTCCGCCCCGCTTGAAGACAGTACCTACTTGTAACTGCACACGTTTGTATTAAATATAAAGAATTATTGCTTATTATTAATTAATTACTCAAAAAGGTGAAGTTAGCTTTGCGATACAAATTGTGCGTTGCAGCAAAGGTAAGAACCCATTGAAAGTTATAATCAGTACCGAATTAAGCCAGCGCGGGGCCTGTAGCAAATTCTATCAAAGGGCCCTTGCACTGTTTTAGGTTAGGTACTTATCGAGTTTATGGTATTAAATAAAACAAAACTGTTACAAACAAACTTTTCTTGATTTAATTTGAGCAAATTTATAAATACGAGGGAGGTTCAATAAGTACCCGTGTTTGAACACAGAGGACGTTCCTGG